ATAATCTTTTTCCTTTCTAATCCTAATTATTTACTTTTATAATTAAACTAATAAATAACTTTTTATATAATTATAAAATTATTTAAGAATACAAAATGTCATATATAAAAATATATATTATACAAAAACCCTAACTATATATAACGTGCAAAATGAAAAAAAATCTAAATATATACTAATAATTCATCTTCAGTCATAACTGTGGTGGTGCTTCAAGGTGCTGGTTCAAAGCGGTGAGAGGGCGTGAAGGTGCATAATAAAACCCTAAAATATAAACCGTATAATCTTTAAACGAATGTGAGCATCCGTCAACGGATGTCAACATCCGTTTTCCCTTAAACGGATGTCGACATCCGTTTTCCTTAAACGGATGCTCACATTCGTTTAAAGATTACGGTTTATATTTTACAGTTTTTTTATATTAATTTTGAAGATATTTAAATAATATAATTTATATTTTTTGATATATTATTTTTGAATATATTTTGATGTATTTTAATAATATATTTTTGAGGATCTTTATTCTTATTAGTATATATTTAGATTTTTTTTATTTTGCACGTTATATATAGTTAGGGTTTTTGTATAATATATATTTTTATATATGACTTTTTGTATTCTTTAATAATTTTATAATTATATAAAAAGTTATTTATTAGTTTAATTATAAAAGTAAATAATTAGGATTAAAAAAGAAAAATGTTATTTTTGTAATTATAAAATGTTAGTTTTGTAATTCAAAAAATATGTAATAGAATTGGGGAGGTGGAGGGAGAAAATGTGGTGGTGAAGGAAGTAACACCCCCGAAAGCGTCTCATTTCTGAACTTTTTAATATTTTTATTAACAAAATATTGGGTGCTGCTCCCTCCACCACCATCCTTTCTCCCTTCACCTCCACACAAATTTTTTAATTACCAAATTACTCTACAATTTTTAATCATTTTACTTTTTACCTTCTTCATTTACCAAACCCTAAATCATTCTCACTTTCTCTCCCAGCCCCACCCCTCCCCCCAACTTTCTCTCACTCGTTCTTTCTTCTATGAGATCCGTTTCTTCTCACTCCAACTCTTCCTTTGCTTTCCGTTCATGGTGGTGCGGTGGTCTGTAAAAATCTTGGCACTGCATGTAAAAATATTGAAAATGAAGAGAACAACCTATTCACGATAGAAATTCAAAACTTGAAAAGCACTGCAGAAAAGGGTAAAGAACCACATTTAATCAAACATCACATGCATAAAGTGAAAAACAGAAACAGAAGCAAACCAAGATTCCATCTTGATTTTCATTTTCTGTTGAGGATTCCCGGAATCGATATTGGTTGAAAAAAATATTTCTTTTTGGGTAAAATAACAATAGCAGTAAAGGGTGCATGGTGATTTCCAAGGAATTGGATCAAATTACGGAAACCACCAATACTTGCCTGGTGGTGAATAAAAAAACAAGATTATAGAAAATTGGTCAAAGCTAAATTTGAAGAAGTGACAGCCATACTCCTAGAAAACTCAAATGGGTGTGCAGAAAAATTGAAAAAGTTAAGGAAGCACAACAATGGAGACACAAACAGAGAGAAAAAAACGCAACTTTGAGTTTTCACAGTGAGATGATGATTTATAGATCAGAGAATGAGAGAGAGAAAGTGAGTTGTAGATTTGGTTTTTCTTCTCCCCGATGGAGGAACCACGGCGGCGATATCTTTTAATTAACTAATAGCTATCACTTTATGTCATTTTTTCTCCTTGATTAAAAATTGTCAATGGATGTCAACACGGAATGTCGACCTCCGTTTTACCTTAAACGGATGTTGACATCCGTTTTACCTTAAATGGATGTTGACATCCGTTGACAGATGTTTACATCCGTTTAAGGTTTATACATTAATTTAGGATTGATTAAGTACGTCGACGCAGTTAAAAAGGAAGAAAAGCTTGTATGTCTATGCGTAGAGGATTAGATTAGAGTGGATAAAAGTTAAAAGTATTAATAGTAAAAGTAAAATTTTACTCAAGGATAAAATAGAAATAGAGAAGTGGAAGGAGGGGTAAAAGTGGAATGGGGAGGTGGAGGGAGTAAGTGGTGGTGGTGGAGGGAGCAACACCCCAAAATATTAGTTTAACTTTTGTAAGAATATTTTAAATCCATTTTGAGGTGGAGAATGAATAGCGCACATTGGTTTCTGCCAAACCTTTTTCGTCGGCTTTTTAAGAAAAATAAGTGTAATTTATTTTTTATATTATTGTCATTTTATTGGGATTTAATAGTTTATTCTAATAAGATTATTACAAACAGTAATTTTGAAAAACAAACATGATTATAAATTTATAACTAAAATTCCAAATAATTATTTTAATTAAACTAAATTTATATTAAGTTCATGTTTCAAGAAATATTTTAAATAAACAATAAAAAAAGAACCCCTTCAATAAGTTAAAATTAACTCCTTTTAATAAGTTAAAGTTAACGTATATATAAGTTAGGAATTGATTAAAAATAGTTTCTTTTACCATTGATACATATATTACTTTAGGTTTATGAAAGAAGTTGATATAAATCCTCTGGTAAATGAAGTAGAAGGGATTTTTGCATTTTTTTAGGAGAAAAATAAAATAAAATAAGAGAATTCTTTAAATCTTTGTTTTTCTTTTATATATATAGCTCTTAGTTTTATTTATAATTTTGTCTTATTAGGTAAAGGTTTGCTAAATTTGATGAACAAATACTTCTTCCATACTTAAATATAACTAATGTTTAATTAAATTTTAAGTTCTAATGAATTTTCAAGAACTTTGAATTAAATATTTATTAAATTTTTATAATTCATTGGGTTCTAAAACATTTAAAACTAATTGAGTACATTAATAGAAAACTCTAACAATTTAAACTCTTTAAATTTATCATAGCTTTAAAACCTAATTAAACTTAAAAATAAATAAAAGATGATTGATAAATTTAAATATAAATAAATTTCAAGTACAGTGTACTATTTGAAAATATCCTTATTTTTAAACATCATTCTCATGAATATAATTAAAAAGAAAAAAATTAACATTGGCATCAGTTAGAGTGAAAAGAAAGGGAGGACCCAAGAATATCTCATCTTCCAAACCTTATCCAGAGAAGACCATGAATGAGTCTAAGTCAAGCTATTAAATTTGGGAGTTTATTAGTAAAATAAAGTGGTAGTTAAAGCTTCATTATTTTATTTAATTAAACTTAATTATTTCCAAACACTCTAAAATAACTATCCACCACACTTATTTAAAACATCACCTTTTGTCAACAACATATACTTTTCTTTACCAATAAAAATAATTTGGTAATCCAAATAACTAAAAGTGTTAAATGGATAAGGTTAATCTAATTTTTCTCTCTCTTTTTAATTTAAGATTGTATAAACAATCAATTTTATATTTAAAATTTTGGTTAGATATATATTTAAAACCATCTTAAGTTAAATATGTTTTTAATTTCTTAAATAAAAATTGAAATTATTTATTTTAAAATTTTGATCATCAATTTTAAAATATATAGATTTTTTTAATTAAATTTTGTTAAATTAAATTAATGTTTTAAATCTATTTTATAATAACGTTCGAGTTATTTATATTTTTTGACATATTTTTTTTTAATATTAATTAAAAAATATTTTTAAAATCTCAAATAAATTTAACAAAATTTGATTAAAATAATTAAATTAAGACAATTTTAAAAACAAAGAATTTAATTAGTCTAAAATTTTGAAAAATATTAATTTTTATTAAAAATTAAGAGAAAAATCATATTTAATCATTTTATAAAATTTATACTTATAATTGATAAAATAAGGTAGAATAATTGAAAAAAAAGTTGGTAATCGATGGTCATATGAAATTGATTGTGGTGTGTGGACTACGGAGTCAACGAGGAGAGTGTCTTGATATTGGTGTTGGTGGCACGTCAGCATCATCACGTCCTGTTACAAAAAATTGCTGATGTACTCAAACAACAAAAAAATTATTTTATTAATCACAATCGTATTTACATTTTATAAGGATATTATAGATAATTTGTAAGAGAATATTAATTTAATTTTATTATATTTCGTTTATCAATTAAAAATTATGAAAAATACGAAATGAGTAAAAAAAATATTAAATAAATTTCGAGTCTCATTAAATTTTATGATCTCCAGTAAATTTTAATTTACAAGAGAGAATACATTTATAATATTTTTGAATGATAAGTTCTGGCCATAAGTCTTTTAATCGTGATATTATAAAACTTTCAAGAGTATACTTTTTTCAACAATTATATATTAATAACGTTTTTCTTTATTAATATAGTTGATACTATGTTGTATAAATATAATGCTATATTTTGTATAAAAATTTTCAACATGTTTCTTTATACATTTTCTCAAAACAATCTTTCAGCACATTCTTCATTATGTATTGAAGCTAGAACTTATTAAATTACGAGCAAAACTAGTTAAATTTAAATTTTTACTCTTTATTAAAACTTAGGCACTAATAAAAGTTCTATTAAAATATAATTTTAATGGTTATATTTGATTAATATATTACCAACACATAAAAATAGTCATTAACAAGAAATATTTTAAGATTATTATTACAAAATTTAATATATTCATTATATACAATGATTCATAATTAAGTAATGGCCTAATGTTTTTTGCAATGTAAATATAAATATACTATTTATGAGAAATACTAAGAAGAATATAATATTCTTAGCACTTTTTTTAACACCTTGGTTATTCATTGAAATTTACAGAAAATGTCAAATTATGAATGACTCATTTAATGAAAGAAATATAAAAACTGTGATTTTTTATTCTCAATATTTTTTAGCTAAAAATTAAAAGTACATTAGAAAAATGTGATGCTATTTTCTATGAAAAACATTTTCTTACTCTGAAAAATGTAATTTCATATTTATCATTGGGTTGGATCTTAGTCCTTCTCCTTTAATTGTTTACTCTGATTTGTGAAAAAAGAAATGCAACAATCTGTTGTCTTTTCTGAATGAAAGCTGACAATTCTCCTTACCATAACAAATGCAAAAAAATAGTCCTTGTGTTAGAAAAGCTTGGTTTGGAAGCCATTGCTCCTTCTTCTTCTTCGCTTTGTTCTTGTTGTAGTGCACCAACTCCTCTCATTTTCAAAACCCACCTTCCTTTTCATCTTCCCATCAAATCCTTTTCATTTCTCACCGTGATTCATCACAATGCCGTTTCCCTGAACCCGCCACAAAAAAAGAGAGAGAAAAAAAATAGTTTTTATATTAAACAAATCAATGGGGGCGGCACCGTCGACGCCGTACACGGTTGAGTATCTCGTCGGAACCTTCGTCGGTGACGACTCCTTACCTCTCTCCTCCGACTTCTGGCAAAAGCTTCTCGAGCTTCCTTTCGATGCCCAATTGCCCTCACAACAAGTTCATGAAGCTTGCAAGTTATTAGGTCTGTCATAAGTCTTGCTTTCTCTCATCATTCTTTTGTTTTTAGTTAAGTTATTCACTTGGTACTATATTTGACCCCATTTTAACTTTCAAGTTTTAGTCTCTTTATGGAAGAAACATAGAAGTTTTAGTCCCTGCACACTTTTTTTAATCCACTCTCTTTCAGTTTTGTTGAAATTGATCAGAAATCGTAAAATTTGTTGGTTCTCATGTTATAGTTAATGGTTTTCTATTCTGATTACATGGTTTTCAATAAAATTTAACTAATAAAATGGAAAGAATGTGTTTAGAAGAGTCTATTCTTAACACTTTTCAAGTTAAGTTTTGGTTTATGTGGCTAACACCAGGGAAGAATATTTTTGTGGTGAAACATTGCTACAAACACAAAAACAAAACTAAATAGGGACATAAACTTGCTGTTTTCTCAAATAGGGATTAAAACTTGCAATAAAAACAACTATACGACCAAGTGAATAGTTTAAACCTTTGTTTTTGTTTAAGAGAAAACTTCAATGAGGAACTATTTAATTGTTGATAATGGAATTTTTTTTCTCTACACGATTGTGTTATAAATGAATTAGTAGTGATTTGAGTTCTCCTTCTGTTCCTCTGAAGCAATTGTTTCTAATTACCTTTTCTTTTTAAAGGAAATTGGTATGTGACTGCAGGAAAGCCTTGAATGTTTAGTTTGCATGCTAGTTATGGTATTGAGGAGGCTAAAGTTGGTTCCCTCATTCAAAGTCTTGCTATTTTAATGTGTTTTTTTTATTGATTAGGTGTTGTTTTGCTTGCTAATGTTTGGTTTTCATTTTGCAGCAAAAAACAACTGTAAGACGAGACATCTTGCTAAGATTTTGTTTCATTTAGCATGCTACTTGCAGGAATTCATGTCTACTTCTGGTGTGCCACCGTTGGATCATGAAAAGGCTGTTAATGCAGTTTGCTTCACTTCAGTGTTCCTAAAACACTTGATTGAAAGTGCCCAAGATGGTGTTGTTGAGTTGTACCTGTCTCTCCATGATAACGACTCAATACCAAAAAGTATTTTGGGAGGTAAGTACTATGTACTATAACGTTCATAGAACATTAGAAATTCATCTTTGCTATGTACCCTTACCTAGGAAGCTCTTTTATCTTTCTTTATTATTTATTTATAAATTTAATTTCTATGCACTATTAGTATATTTTTTGTATTGTCAACCATTAAGAAAGCATGACTTTCAAATTAGTTATTATAAAAGTCAACAAGCATATTATTCATAGCAACCTGTGATTTGTGCTAGTGCAAAAGTATTTTACACTGTTAATGTATTAAATTAGCTTTTTCATTTATTTAGTTTTATGGCAAGTTAGTAAATTTTCAGATATCTGGCCCTGAAATTTCCTCTTCTAATTATTGAAATTCATCCAGATGCTCTATTCTAATGCAGATCAGACCATTGAAATTCTTGTTATGAGGAATGTGCTTAACTTTATTGCATCTGTAGATTTGAGGTATATCATGGATAATAAATTGGTAAATTTTTGTTGAGTTACTGTGTGAAACTGCCAATGTTTTTCACCCTGATTATATATATTGTTTTCTTGTAGTCCCAATACATATTTCCTACATCTGGAGCTGCTTAATTTTACGATTATTGCAATGTCAACTCAGCTTCTGTGTGGGCCATCTCCTAGATTGAATGATGTGAACCCATTTCTTGATGCAGCAATGGCTCTGGTAAGAAGCTGAAAATTAAATATCTAATTTGGCTATTTAGTTTATCTCTATCTCCCGCCAGCAATTGAAGTTAGTGCACTCTTATCTTTTGCAGGATGGTCATCTGGTTAGTTCAGTTGTGTGCAAACTGCTTTTAAATTACATTAGCCGACCTCGTGTTCCTTTTAATAGAGCTTCTTATCCCATATTTTATGATGGAAGTGAGAGTAGCATGCTAAAGAGAGTTGGTTCTGCAGCTGGTATGGGGAATGAATAGAGTTTTATATATACAGACTTTTGAGGTGGAACATACACTGTTATTTATGGAAGGAAAATGCTAATCAGTGTCCTAAAGACACTTATTAAGGAATTAAAAGTAGAAAGATTTTTATTGTGATGTGTAAAGTCGCTTCCCTAAGAATGTGCTTGACTATAATTTTTATTTAATAAAAACTTTCTCTTTTTAATTCCTTAACCAGTGTCCTTCAGGAAGACCCTTTACAAATGTTGTGATAATTTTCTTATTGTTCAAAGTTGGAGACTTACTGACTGTCACTTCTTTTGGCATTTCCTTTTCTCCATTCAGCAAATATTGTTTTATTGCCATTCAGTTATTTGATCAGTTCAAGCAGTGAAGGTTCAAGAGATCCAATAGCAGATAGCAGTCTTCATGTGCTTCTTGTTCTAATTCATCATCATAAATGTCTTGTGAGTGAGGGATATTCTGTTATAGAGAATCAAGTATCTGCTTCTTCAGATTCTTTACCTAAAGAGGACACATATTTTTCAGACAACCCTTACTGCAAGGCCTTAGAGCATGCAACTAATGGTGAATGTAATATATCTTTTATATCTTTGTGTTCTTTTAGTTGACTGGAGAGACCAATAATTTTATTTTCCAATGATTTAAATGCAGTGGATCGTGTAGAATTTGAGGATAATGCACATAATGACCAGCATGTAAAGTTACCTTTTTCACCATTGTTTGATACCCTTGGCATGTGAGTATCAGGCTACCTGAGTGTGCTGTTGATAACTGATTTCCTAGATCTGTAGCAAACTTACATTTGTTTATAGTTGAGTTATGCTATTCAAAATAGAATATACATGTTCAGCATACTATCATTAAAAGATGGTAACTTCCGTTTCTCAAAAATGAGATTATCAGAAAAATGTATCAATAATCACTTGTAGGTGAATCTTATGATGACAGAGTACTTGTTTCTTATGTTTTTCTTTTCACCCACTGGATGAATGTCCTTCCTCTTTCTCTCTATTCCCACCGCATGTAGATCAAGCGAGAATTCTTGGACTTCTTTCCTTGTTGAACTTATATATATCTACACACACACACACACAAATGACGTTATGGGTATGCATGTGGTATCTTTGGATTTTGTTTTACTTTTCTAAAAGCAAGCGTGTCTGTAATATATGCATAACGTACTTTTAGTGTATTCTTCATTATATTTAATTTTAAATGACACTATTGTAAACATTTCAACATTTTTCCCTCTCTAGGTGCTTAGCTGATGAAACGGCTGTCTTACTTCTGTACTCATTGTTGCAAGGGAATTCCACCTTTCTGGAGTATGTCTTGGTCCGGACTGATTTGGATACATTGGTGCGAAGAAATAAACTTAAATCCTCTTGAGAAAAAGTGGAATGAATTGATTATTATATTGTATAGATAAATATTAGTGGAATTCCTTGACTATGATTTGATATATGTAACTGGTTGATTTGAAAATCTTGCAACTGATTCCTATATCTTAATCATACCAGTCTTACCAGTGCTTCTAGAATGAATGAGGATTGAGTCATGGTCTGATAATCCGATCGTTGTGTTTATCTTATGAAATTAACAGTTAATGCCCATTCTAGAAGCATTATATGATGCTCGAAGGAGAACAGCCAATCAAATTTACATGTTGTTGATTATACTTCTCATACTTAGTCAAGATTCTTCTTTCAATGCGGGAGTTCATAAGCTGGTAAGACTTGCTTTTTGGCATTAGACAAAGTCTTATTCTGTAATGAATGTGCCACTACTAATCTAGTACGTTTATGGACAGATACTACCGACGGTTCCATGGTACAAAGAACGACTCCTCCTCCAGTCTTCTCTTGGTTCCCTCATGGTCATCATTCTTATCAGAACTGTACAGTATAATTTGTCTAAACTCCGGGTACGGGTCTTAATGGAAGTGGAACTTTTAATTTAATTACCCCATGTATTTAAGCTTCCATTTTCTTCTGATTGATTATTTAAGTTTCATATTATTAGTACACTGGCTAATTGAGATGGCTATTACGAGAGACTTGTTGACTGTTCTTATGCGTTTATTAATGGAATATATAAATTGATTGATGCTGTGGGTTGAATTTTCTTGCTTAAATATCTTGTCTCATTTTTCAATTTCAAGGTACTTCAACTCAAGAAGATAAACATTGGGCTGGCTGCTGATCCTAAACTGCACAGTTTAATTTTTTACTCCTTACTCCAATCCTCAGCAAAAAAATAAAATAAAATTGCTTGTCTTAATTTTTTCCATATTTCAGAATGTTATGGATTGATGTGTTCCTGAGGAGCACATGCACATGTTTTTATTCCAGTAAATTATAAGTTTTGATTGTTGACCTTGATAGCACAATTTAGACTATTGTGTCTAAGCCTTTAAGTTTACATGAATCTACTTAATTATTTCTTTTATATGTTTAGATGTGCTGAAAGGATATTGTTTGAATTGTGATAGGATGTATATCTTCATACAACGTGTCTGGCAACATTGGCAAACATGGCACCTCATGTCCACCATTTGAGTCCGTATGCATCTCAGAGGCTAGTCAGCCTCTTTCACATGCTATCAAGGAAGTATGTTGCTACTCTTTCTGGGCTTTCATAATAGACTATATCCATTTCGTATTTATATCTTGAATGACTGATTTATTGTATAAAGGTTTGATTCTAATGTTGATTATCGTTAGGTATAACAAATTATCTGATCCCAGAGATAAGAAGCTCAATGATGCAGAAAACAACTCAATTGAAATAAGTAGCTTTGTAGATATGGTATGTGATAAAAGTTTTTCACTTTTATCATTCGTTGACTACAAACTTTTGACCGTTCCTTTTTCTAAATGTATCTTTTTGATACAGTCAGCGGAGTTGCACATATATACTGATTTCTTGAGGCTTGTACTAGAAATTATAAATGCAATTCTGACTTATGCATTGCCTAGAAATCCTGAGGTACAATGTAATGTTGCACTTGATTAATTTCAGGGTTGACATGTGCAAAACAAATTGTACATGTTTCCCAATAATAAGAAACTATATTCGCTTTGTGACCTTTAACATCAAATGTGTTGCTTTTGTGACTGGGACAGGTGGTGTATGCGATAATGCACAAGCAGGATGTCTTTCAGCCGTTCAAGAACCATCCCCGCTTCAGTGAGCTCATTGAAAACATCTATACTGTACGTTTCGTGCATTTCCTTCTTAGTCTATAACATTATGCATTTTCCCTTTAAAATCTTGCAACTTTAAAGGAGCACATTTCATAATCTTTAGTTACATTTGTGAATATTGTCTTTGTATAATACGTCATGTCTCAAGAGTGTTCAAGTAATGTGGTCTATTTTATATTTGCAGGTGTTAGAATTTTTTAACAGTCGCATGGATGCCCAAAGAATGGATGGTGGATGGTCAGTCAATGAAGTACTCCAAGTGGTAATTGTAAACTGTCGATCTTGGCGTGTTGATGGGATGAAGGTAAAATGAAAATATCTATCATTTGTGGTTTCTCATGATCACTTGCTTTGCTTCTGTAAGACTGTATCTTGTTTGGCAGATGTTTACTCAACTGCACTTCACGTATGAACAAGAGAGTCACCCAGAGGAGTTCTTCATCCCATATGGCTAGTACTCTCCAAATGGTATAGAGATTCTCATCCACACACCTTATGATGACTATTTGCAACTTTTTTCCTCTTTTATTGTTCGAACTTTGTTGATTATGGGGGTATATTAAATTCATCATCTTGTTTTTTACTGTAACTTTTGTTGATTACCTTTAAATATGGTTTTCTTGCTCTGTGCATGTTTCTGATGTGAAATTTCTGTCATCTGCAGTGAATTTGAATTCAATGCAACAACTATAAATTTGTTTCCAGCTGATATACCTACCAAAGTACGTATATGAATCTCCAATATATATTTATATATATTTTTTAGATAAGCTCTATTATATATCTATATAGCACTCCTTGTAATCAAATAACACAACTGTCTTTTTCCTCAAGTATTTTTGTTCCTCAATCCTTCCATAATATCTAAACATGCTTGTTGCTGCCACTGCTTATATTACTGTTTCTATGATGGAATGAATACTACATTAGAATTTTTTTTTCCTGATAAAAGAACAAGCTAAGGAGTTAATATAAGTTCAGCTCATCATCTCTTTCTTTTCACGTTTGAAAGGAAATTGAGCTGTTGTTGTCCTGTGATCAAATTTATTTTCTGTGGTCAAAATGGAAAAATAAAGGATAATGTTTTCCTCTCTGTTTGGTTCACTTTTTTTTCAAAATACTAGAGTTCTAAAAACAAAGTAAAAGTCGTTTTGCAGCTTTGTTTCTCCATACAACATTGCTTCAATTATTTTTAAATGAGAGAAAAAAGGAGGCTAGAATGTGCAACTTATTTCTAAAAACTACTTCAGTCAGTTTTTCTTTTCTTGTCTAAAACCCACTTTATCCCCGCCTTTCTTTTATCATCAGCTCCCTAATTCGGAAGAGTTTTTCACCATTTTTTTTAAGTAGAAGAAAAACTAGGAAAAAAGCTGAGTCAAGCAATACTAGTAAGGTCTTGTCTGCTCTGTCATTATTTCAAGTGATAGAACTTATTCCCGTCACATTTATGTAATGCATAATTCAAGCTACGTTTCCTTTAATTCCTAAGCAACTTAATTGTTACTTGTCAGTAAAGCTAATTTGCACCAGCCATTCTCTTTGACTCATGAAAAAAATAATGGAAGAATTGGTTTTTTATGGTATATGATTTGTTGCTTTTGTTTCTTTTGCATAGGTTTGACATACTTATACATTAACTTGGATTATTGTCTTCAATGACAAAATTCACTGTGTTGCAGAAACTTGACAATGAGGTGGAAGGAAATACATTCCAAAGCAGTGACTTTGACCAAGTCTGAGTATCAGCTTGATCCGTTGCCAAGTACTCCAATTCTGTTTGTGAATATTTGTATAGATAAATTAGTTACAAAAATGTAATGTTCTCATTCTTTTCTGTTCATAAATTTTGAGTGTAATTGTTCACTCCTGAAGATGAAAGTGGTTTGAGATATCCATGTAATGAATAAATGATGATGCTAACATGTCATCCATGTTATGTCAGTTTATACAAGTTTGCCATCACTTGCACTTTATTTTATGATTTTGTGGTAGCTTTATGATAAAGGCAAATCATCTTGGTACATCTTGATTTAGTTATTTAATATGTAAAAAAATAATAATTATGTTGTAATGTCAAAGAAGATCAATTTGTCCTTAAATTATACAAAATATGATTGAGATATTTTTTACATATCTAACAACTAAATTATAATTTTTACGACTTTTTAATCACTATATTATCACCCATTTATATTTTAAGAGGTAAAAAATGCCATTCACCTCTACCCCTAATTAACTTGTCCTGAGGCAAAATTATATTTAAGCAAGTATAAGTATGAAACTTTGGAACACAAGTGCATGGTATTGAATCAAATGATTTGATTAAAGAAGTATCATCTTTATACACCTAAGAAGGAAACATTGGCATGCCAAGAGTTCGGAGTTTTGTAGAAATTAACTTGTGAAAAGGCTGATTTCATTTTTTTTTATCTTTTCTAGAAATATTTATAGAAAATTTTCCCATTGATACTCATTATGTGAAATAATGACTCACTAAAATGAGTAATACATTATCACATGGATTTTTAGGAAGATGTTCACTCTTAAGAACTATTGATCTTACCATCTATCTTTACATAAGAATTTCATAAGAACTAATTTGTACTTTTATAAGGTAACTTGTTGATGTTGGTATAAAAGCTTCAAATTTAAAGATTTAATAATAATAATAATAATAATAATAATAGATGAATTAAAAATCTTGTACGAATATGGGTTTATGTCATAATTTGTGGTTTAAATTTATTGTAAGTGATTTCTTTATTTTTTATGTTGTTTTGTTTAAATGACTACTTCATGGGAAAGTATTTTAATTTGTTTAAAATTTTAACTTTTACTATTAAAATGTTCTTGTTTAATTTGTAAGAAAAATATAATTTAATTAATTAAATTTTTTTATTTTAATATGTTAATTTTGCTTAAGCACTTCAAAGTCTAAAAATCGAATAAAATAGTTTAAAATGTATACTTTAGTGATTCCAATCCTTTAAAAATATGTTTTACCATATTAAAATTCTGCAACAAAACATTAGTTTCATATAAATTCAATAACATTAATCTATTAAAACTTGACAATTTTATATAAAAGATATCTCAATCTATTTGGGTTATCCATTTGGAACAGGTTATAAATCATTTTTGAACAATGAAATTAGCTTTACAAACTAAAAACACACTTCTTAGATCGTTATCTTTTCTTCTCATCTAGTGCTACACTTAATCCATGCGATCATTTTCCTCTTTCGAATTTCCTTGGGGTATGGGCTATAAATGCCAAGTCCTTTCTTCACTCTATTCCTTTTTTTTTCTTTTTATTAGAATTCACTTCAATGAAGACCCTGAATAAGGAGGAAAGAGGAATGGAAGAGATTATGGTGGAAGCTATAATCAAGATGTACTTTGGGATGTTAATCAAGATGTTATAGCTGCCCAAGAATTCTCTTCATCTGCAAAATAGATGCATAAATATCAAATTTCATCGAATAAATGACTTCAAACAATGTATCATTTAACCGTTTAGCAGGAATTGCTCACCATGCATTACAACAATGGCCCCATACCATTAAGTATGGTCAGCTACATAGATTAGATGAAGCCACCAGACTCGGGAAAAAACCAAATTCATATGAATATTATTTGCAGATCCCTTTTAATATTTTTTTCTCTCGTGTCTGTTATGGTCTCCCTTTACCCGTTTTTCACAGCAAATAAAAAAATTCTTGTAGATTTTCTTCGATGGCACGTTGAAAAGCTTGAAGGAGCAGTGAATATAAAGCAGCCGGAGCAACTTCTCTAGCTGTTGCCCCGAAATATCACATCAGATAAGAACGTAAAACATGTACAACAAAAAGATTCTTAAAACTATTATAATATAGGTCTATTTGAAACAAACTTCTTTCTATATATTTTCGGAATAAAAACAATACATAAAGTAAAAATAGTGATGTATAAACTAATTTTTTGAAACTACATCTTATTAACTTCTCTAAATTTAATGTTTACCTCACCTATAAACTAGTTTTAAGTTAAATAGAGATCTTTGTTTCATTTTTTTCCTTCTTATTTCTCTCTTTTAAAATTATTTATGCAGAAATCTCTCCAAACATATACTACGTAACAAACAAAGGACTTTTCCTTCCAATTCTGAAAGGGTAAATGAAGAATTTAATCTTCAAGCCTTAAACTAAACAATCTTCTGTCAAGAAAAATCTGTACACCTAACCACAACATCCAGGTCTGCCCCATAACTAAAGCTAATTAATTAATTAATAATAATAATAATAATAACAATAATAATAACAATAATAATAATAATAATAAAGGCAAAATATGATGTCAGTCACTTCAGATTTGCCTTAGAAACCATGTGAAATTTAAAATAACATTCAAATACACTTAAGCTCCAATCAACAATAAATATTACCTGGAGTCGAAATTGAAGGTAGTCGGAAAAAAGGGGGAGCAGTTCCCTGGAACAGGATGCCCTAGTGACTACAAGCAGCATTCCACTCAGTAAACTTTCATAAATCACAACCAGTGAACGCAACGATGTATATTGCAATCGGGGAAGGCCTAGAAAATGTCAAAGAAATATACATCAAACAACCTTTTTCCTTTGCCATGTTTCCCAAAAGATGTCCTGTTAAAGAATTTAGGAAAAGTGAACAGATATTATATACTTGAAAAGGATAAAAACAATTGGGATTTGAGATAAAAGAATACAGCACATTATCTAGTCCAACATATGAAACCCAAAAGTAACTAGCATTTAATGACCATAAAAGTTAATTAAATTGAAACTAAAACTTCTAACCTTGTTTTCCACACATGTAGTGATCATTTGTCAAAAAAGCTTCCTCAGCTTCATCATTCCCACATTTTTCTCCAAAGCAGATGAATAACTGACTCCGATATCCGAAGGGAGCCGATTGCCTTCCTTTTATTGTAAAAGTGAGGCAAATCTTTATTCTAAAAATCCACCTTTACAAAGCTCATTTATTATATAGGTTTGGACATCTGGATGATAGCCTCTAATGAAAAGATACTGGGAAATCTTCCGTGCAGTCTTTGGCCTCCCACTTTTGTGCAACCCATTTATAAGTATATTGTATGTGCGCAAATTTGGACTAATACCTTGATCAACAATTCCATATTTTAATAGTGCAATTGCCTTGTCAAGTTGCTGCCTGTTGCAAAAAGCATCTAACAAGATATTGTAGGTTACAATATCTGGAACCAAATTCTTGAAACACATTTGATTAAAAAGATTCACGGCTTCCACCAATCTTCTATTCTTGCAACAGCCACTAATCAAGATGTTGTAACTCCAAACATTAGGGGCAAAACTTCTTTCAAAGATGAGATGTTTAAAAAATGCAATTGCCTTGCCAACATGCTCACTACTACATAAAGATTCTAACAAGATATTGTAAGTGGTTACATCGGGAGGTGGACCCCAATAACGCATTTCATCAACATGCTTCCGTGCACGAGAGATTTTCCCAGATTTGCATAAACCATCAACCAGAGAATTGTGAGTTATAATATTTGGAACTAAATTCGTAAGACGCATATGTTTAAACACACTGAAAGCTTCATCCACTCTTTCAATCTTGCAATAACCTTTAATCAAGATGTTATAGCTCCAAACATCAGGCACCAAACCCCTTTCAATCATCCCATGAAATAATTTTATTGCCTCTTCCACTCTATCAATCAAACAATACCCATGCATCAAAATAGTATAAGTAGTAATGTCAGGTTGTTCACCTCTTTCAATCATCAAATTAAATAACTCTCTTGCCTCATCCACGGGGCTCCATTTTTGTTTAAACAATACCCATGCATCAAAATAGTATAAGTAGTAATGTCAGGTTGTTCACCTCTTTCAATCATCAAATTAAATAACTCTCTTGCCTCATCCACTTTTTTGTTTAAACAATTCCCATTCAGCAAAGATCTAACTTCTTTCCGTTGGCCCGCACGACACAAACCATAAATTAATGAACTAAAAGTGAAAATATCTGGGAAAATTCCCTGAACAATCATTTTGGAACACAAAACACGTGCCTCATTTATATGTCCATCTTTGCACAAACCATGGATAACTGTATTGTATATTACAATATTGGGCTTAACCTCCTCTCTCCCCATCTTCTGAAGCAGTTGAATGGCAGCTCTTGTGTTTCCCATCTTACTCTTACACAGCCCATTGATTAAGGTTCCATAGAGAACATCATCAAGCGAAATCCTTCGAGCAACCATTTCATTGTAAATGTGTAGTGCATCCAGCATCTTATCATTAATACAAAACCCCTTCATCAGCGTAGTAAAAGTCACAACATTTGGTTGACAACCCCACTTAAGAATCTTACCCATTACAGAGAATGCAAAATTCATCCGACCCATGTGGCAGAAAGAGTTGATCAAAATGTTAAAAGTGACAGTAAACGGCACAACACCCTTATATTCCATTAGGTTATATAGATTGATAGCTGTCGCATAGTATTTCATCTTCACAATCATTCCTAAGATTTTGGTGAATTCCACAATCGATGGCAGGGGATGCATATCAACCATGCGATGAAACAAAGCCACAGCATCATCAATGCCACAAAATCTGTAAGTGCTTTCCGATGGCAATGGCTGCGAATGTAGATGTATCCTCCTCATATGTGGCATAAGAAGGCGAGGAAGTTTCAGGAATTGCATACCTTGCCGTATACCACATGTGCTCTACTCCAAACACAACACAATATGCTCACTAAATTTCTCAGTCCTTCCCCATGTCCTTCCACGAGGTTTAACAACGAAACAGTAGAACTACATGGAAGAATGAAAACAGCTCCATTATCCATAAACTCTTTACTTTCTGCACTAACTAAAACAGAGAAAATATAAATTAACAGACAATGAGTATTGTTCAACAAAATAACCACAAACAAAATAAAAAATATAAGTTAAAAACCAAATGGGTATGTACCAATTTTTTTTTTTCTCAAAAAAGTAATCCTATAAGAAAAGGAACTGACAAACAGGTAGCAAAGAGAGACATTTTGACAAACAGAAAGAGTGCATAGAGACACATACGTATTGAAAAACCATCGTTTTTTTAATAAAGAGAGATTGGTTTTCAGTATATAGATGTAATGCAAAATGACTGAGTCATAGCTACAAATTGAACAAAGTTGGGGGAACATAATATAACATGATAGGAGTGCAGAGAGTGAAAAGCGAGATGGTGAAAAATGGTTTAAGAGGTTACTGGAGAGGCAAAGACGTGAACTTGAGTATGGTAGAATGAGCGGCAAGAGTTGTTTGTGTTTCTTCCGTTTGCTGAGGCAGTGGGGTGGTGGCGGTGGTGCCCTCAACGTGAAGAAAACACAGCATGAGTCCACCTTAGGTATTCTTCAGTTTAAACTTTCTTCACACCATGTTTTCCAAACGAAAAATTAATAAAAAAAATAAAGTGAAAATGGAATGTTATAAATATAATAAACACAATTAAAAAAAGACCGCCAATTTATGAAAACGTAATTTTAACAACAATTTTTTTAAGGGGTGTTGCTCCCTCCACCTCCACAGCCTTCTCCCTCCACCTTCCCAATTATCTTTAATTCCAATTATATCCTTAAAGTTAAAATTTTTTATTTTTATATATTAATATTTAAATAAAACTAAATAAATATACATATTAAAATACATTAAAAAGATATTCAAAATAATAATTCAAAATAATTTAAAATATCTAAAAAATAAATAAACAAAAACATAAAATTAAAACAAAGCTTAACGGAGACATCCTTCAACGGATGGTCAACATCCGTAAGGCGAAAGGAGTCACATCCTTTGCCTTAAACGGATGTTGACATCGTTGAAGGATTCATCCGTTTAGGCTTGTTTTAATTTTAAGGTTTTAGGGTTTAGGATTATTGGAAGATTTTGGAAAGATTATTGGAAGGGTTTAGGGTTTAGGGGTAGGATATTAGAAGGATTATGACTACGTGTACCGGGAGAGGAACCACGACAAGCACATTACCACCACCAAAACGAAATGCAACACGTACTGCCACCGAACGCAAAGAGGAAGATTGCTTGATAATTCTTTCACGATCACTGAGCTTTGCAGAAGAAAAATATTTTACCATACAAGGAAACTACGTAGGTTATCAGTGAAAGATGTTATAAATGAGGGGTGGGTGTGGGGGGGTGGGGGTAATTGGAGGGGGTAGGGGGGGGGGGGGGGGGGGGGGGGGGGGGGGGGGGTGAGGGGGGGGGGGGTGGGGGTGGGGTGGGGGGGGGGGGGAGGGGGGGGGGGGGGGGGGGGAGGAGGTGGGGGGGGGGGGAGGGGGGGGGGGGGGGCGGGGGGGGGGGGGTTAGGGGGGGTGGGGCGGGGGGGGGGGGTGGGGGGGGAGGGGGGGCGTGGGGGTTGTTGGGAGGTGGGGGGTGGGGTAGTTGGGGGTGGGGGTAGGGGTGGGGGTGTTGGGGGGGTGGGGGGTGAGCGGGGGAGGTGGGGTGGGGGGTGAGGGGGGGGGGGATGGGTTGGGGGGGGGGCGTGGGGGGGTGCGGTGGGGGTTGGGGGGGGGGGGGGGGGGGGCGGGGGGGGGTGGGGGGGGGGGGGGAGAGGGGTGGGGGGGGGGTGGGGGGGGGGGGGGCGGGAAGGTGAGAAGTGGGGGGTTGGGGGGGGGGTGGGGGTGGGGTTGGGGGTGGTGGTGGTGGTGTGGGGGGGGTGTGGGGTGGTGGGGTGGGGGTGGGGTGTGGAGGTAGAGGAGGTGGGGGGGGGCGGGGTGGGGGTGGGTGGGGGGGTGGGGGGGGGGGGGGGGGGGGGGGGGTGGGGGGGGGTGGGGTGGGGGGGGAGGGGGGGGGGGGGGGGGGGGGGGGGGTGGGGGAGGGTGGGGGTGGTGGGGGGGGGGGTGGCGGTGGGGGGGGTGGGGGTGTGGGGGGGTGGGTGGGGGTGGGGGGGGGGTTGTGGGGGGGGGGGTGGGGGGGGGGGTGGGGGGTGGGGGGGGGGGGGGGGGTGTGGGGGGGGTGGTGGGGGGGGGTTGGGGGGTGGGGGGGGGGGGGGTGGGGGTGTGGGTGGGGGGGGGGGGGGGTGGGTTTGGGGTGGGGGGGGGGGGGGTGTTGGTGGGGGGGGTTGGGGGGGGGGTTGGGGGGGGGGGGGGTTGGTTTGGGGTGGTGGGGGTTGGTAAAATAAACAATAATTCTAAAAATAAAATTTTACTGGGGGCAAATAGTAAAGGGGAGGTGGAGGGAGAAGGCTGTGGTGGAGGGAGCAACACCCTCCATTGGATCACTAGCCCAATAATAATTTAAGCACTGGTACAATTACAATCCAATCTTTGACCTGGGTGAATGGACGACCGAACGGTGCTGAATGTTAACCGTTCGGTCTCCACTAGGTACTATACAATCTTAATTCTTACGATTTGATGGTTAAGGATTTTGTCGCTGTAAATCCACGTAAGATTAAAGTAAAACTACTATATTTTTCCTAATTTTTAAAATAAGAACATATTTTTTTCATACTTTCAATATAATAATACATATATTCTCATTAGGTTTCTAAACACATTTCTTAATAAATAATACTTATCTTATGAAAAATAAAAATTAAAGAAATTCTTATAAAGGAAAACTTGAATAATTTAATTATAGAAAAATTGTTGTTACTCTTTCTAAGATGTCTTTAAATGAAGTTAATATATCAATCTATGTAGCCAAAAACCCCTGTTTAATCTGTCCCATGTACAAAATCTACTTGGACAATTAGCTTTTAACACATTTGAGAGAAAAATGTTGGTAAAAGAAAATACATTATATTTTAATTTTAATTTAAAGATTAACCTTTATTGTACAATAAAGTAAACTATTAATCATAATCCTTATTTTATTTATATTTATATATTGATTAAATTTATTAAATTTTCTTAATTTTAATAAAAACAATTGAATTTTTTTTATTATATTCATTTTATTCTACCTTAACAAAATAAATGTATTTTTGTATAAAAGAATTACAAGAGTTACACTCTAATTATAAACAAATTATCGGTTATAAAGTAAATTTACTTTTTTTAGTACAATTAATAATTATTAGTTGTTAGTTATAACATTTCGGGATCATGAACCCAACATTTATATATTTAAATCTTAGAGAAAATTATGAATATATTCTTGAAATTCTAAAAAGACATAATTTTTCCAAACCTTAAACAGAAAAAAAGGATCGAAGAGAGTAACGTGTAATTTATTCTAATACATTTGCGACATAAATATATATTTCATATCATAAAATAATTAGTTTTTATCTTTTAATTTATTTCATATCATAAAATATAATTGACAATTTTTTAAAATAAAGAAAAACATTTAATGTTTTTGTAGCATTTATGGATAAATATCAACTTAAAATCAGTGATTTTTTCTAAAAAAAAAAGACTTAATTTAAACTAACCTTTTAATTGTCTTACTTTTCTTTTTCTGATATATTATGCAAAGATTTTATAAGAAAAAACACAATATATAAAAAAATTATATGCTTTTACCGTTTCCTATATAAATCCTTAAAAGGGACAAATTAAAACCTATGACTGAACTTTAAGAATTGCAGTTATTAAATTACTCTACTTTGCCTAGAACCTGAAATCATTGATAAATATTTAGCATGACGAACTGAAAATTTTCTACTATTGCAACATCTACAATGCCCCTTTAGGCAAGAATTTCTACAATAAAGATAGATTCATGAACTTCGTTTCCGATGCCTAATTCTTTGAACTATGGGAAAACATTGTCGCATGAAACATTTTATGCATCTGCTAACAACTGCACAATCTAACAGTAAAACATTACTCTCTTCACATTTTCTTTCAAGGCTGGCAACGGCTTCACCACGCCGCACTCTCCACCACCTCCTCTTGTAGCCTTCGAACCACCACCACCACCACCACCACCACCACCACCACCTCCTGAGGAGCCATTTTCTTGCATGTCTGGTTCCATGTAGAACCGTGCTCGAAATGCAGCTAAGTGTGCGTAATATGCAGGAGGAACTGCACATCAATCAAATCCATTAAGCTTCATACTTTGCAAACAAATTAAATTTCAACTAAATCAATCACTACGGCTTACCAACAGACACTGAGCGTGTACACCTTGCATATGTATAACATAGATTGTTTGTCAAAGATTGGATTCCATCTGCTGTAAAGTTGTTTTCGTCCCAAAGAACATGATAATGAGCAGGACGACTTGTACCCTGCATCATAAAACAAACAACAATCATAATTCAACCAAATTACAGCTTTAGAGCTTCCTCTTAATAAGGAAACATGTTTTTCTCTTCTTAACCCAACAAAGAGATTAATGTTTCAGTACTTCCAACAAATGCAGAACATTATCTCTCACAAACCCTTTTAACTATCTAAGGGGTATCAAAACCTAGCAAAAAAAAAAAAACAGTTTGCTTCATAATCAACATTGTAATCATAAAGCTCAAATCTTCCACCTGGATACCGGCATGACTGCAGAGATAAAAATCAAATTCTGTTGGATGACAGATTTTAGAATCCACAACAGTCCCTGTGAAAAAAAATGATCTAATTAGACAATCACTGTAAACAAAAAATAAAATAACTCATTTATTTGTTTACATGGGCAAGTGAATTCAGGTACAGTCATCATACCAGGCAATATATTTCCACTCTTATCTGTACTGTTTCTGTCCCTGTGGTTGTTTGCAAACAACCGAGTATGGTGTCTTTTTTGTACAACTATGAAAGTTACTGGAGGTTGATAGTTTGGTTCTAAAGAAGCACATGCCTGCAAGTATATACATATATATGTATTTTTGTCACAACATGTTTTATAGATTAAACAATTAGAACGTATGTGGGAATGTGTAAAATATCCTGATTCTGACCTTTCGAATTGCATCCAACTCGTAGAGTAGAACTTGGTAAAATTGCCCTTCACTTACACCATCCCTGTTCGAATTTCTTGTTAGCAGAACAGTTTCAACAAACTATAATGTTTAAAAAACTAGCCATTGCCTCATAATTAACATACATTAAAAATACATACCTATAAAATATAATCCTTAGAGGCTTTTGTCCTGTTGCCTTTCTAAAGGAAATCAACAAATCTCTGCAAAAAACGACACAGAACAAAATATTTAGATATAGGGGGAAAGTGAAACTTGCATTGCCAAAATCCCATCATTCCAAAACAAAACATTGAGAATTAGAAATGAGGATGTCAAATCTCTTGTATTACCGGATCATGCCACCACTAACTAAGCCACGAACAGGGTCATGCCACATTTTGTACAAGTCTTGTATAAGTTCCTGCCTATGAGCCTGAGCACACACTAAACCGGCATATTTTGTCACTTCAGGCCAGTCTTGAGATGCTACTACCTATAGATTAGTAATGGTAATAGATATCAGCAAC